TTGGCCTCCAATCCACTCATTACCCTTAAGGCTCCCATGTGGTCATTTTTTTTTCTCTCTCTTTCTGACCCATTTCTCGGCCTTCACAACTCAGGCACTGGCTTTGTGATCCACTTGTTGGACCTCACAGCCCATTATAATTAATATTATTTGCTCCAGAATGATTTTGTTGGCTCCTGTGGCCCACCTGTAGGCCTTCTCATCCCACCCTTTCATTTCCCTTCACAATATTTGAGGCCAAGCCACGTTCTCCACGGCTTTCATTCTACCTTCTAGCCCTGGGCATCTACACAGAGCCCCCACAGATCTCCCCAACCACCTCTGGGTGCTGACATGCAGTTGTCATCCCCAAAATCTTTACTCCCTGATCAATTTTTGACCTTTTTCCTAGGCAGAAAGTCAATTTTTTTTCCACTACGCCACCCCTCCGGTCAACCCTCACAGGGGAGAACTTTGGTAGAGCACCAAAATTATTTCACTTGCTCACAGATGACACCATTTTTAACTTTTCTCTCCCCACAGGGGAACACCTTCCAGGCCACCCTCACCACCAACACCGACACATCCTTCATCATCCTCAACTACAAGGACATCCAATGGACCACGGGGGTGGCGAGCGGCGGTGACCCCAAAACTGGCCTTGGAGGCACCCCGGCCCACGTAGGTGGGGCTGAAGGGAAATGGGGCGAAGGGGATTGAGGGACAGGGGAGGAGGTTGAGCTGTAAGGTTTCTATCAGAAATACTCGGTATCTTCCAAATATATGTCCTCACCTTCCAGAAATACCAGTGTTCTCCCAAATATACATCATTTTCTTCTAGAAATACCCATTTTTCTCCCAAATATACATCATTTTCTCCTAGAAATACACATTTTCTCCCAAATATACGACACTTTCTATCAGAAATACCCATTTTCTCCCAAATATATGACATTTTCTCCCAGAAATACCAATTTTTTCCCAAACATACAACATTTTCTATCAGAAATACCCATTTTCTCCCAAATATATGGCATTTTTTCCCAGAAATACACATTTTCTCCCAAATATATGACATTTTCTATCAGAAATACCCATTTTCTCCCAAATATACAACATTTTCTCCCACAAATACACATTTTCTCCCAAATACACGACATTTTCTCCCAGAAATACACATTTTCTCCCAAATATATGGCATTTTCTATCAGAAATACCCATTTTCTCCCAAATATATGACATTTTCTCCCAGAAATACCCATTTTCTCCCAAATATACGTCATTTTCTATCAGAAATACCAATTTTCTCCCAAATACACGACATTTTCTCCCAGAAATACCAATTTTCTCCCAAATACACGACATTTTCTCCCAGAAATACCCATTTTCTCCCAAATTTATGACATTTTCTCCCAGAAATACATATTTTCTCCCAAATATTCAGCACTTTGTCCCAAAAAATGCCAGTCTTCACTCGAATTTATGTCACCTTCTCCCAGAAACACCACTTTTCTACCCCAAAACTAGGAAGCAGCGCTGCGACTCTTTCCAAAGGGCAAAACCAACCGGAGGGAGGCAGGACGTCGGCCCTCCGACGTCTTCTGGGGTCGAGACGCCGCGGTTGCTGGCTCTCCTATAGGGCCAGGCCTTACATCCCCTGTGTTGCCCATCCTCGCAGGCCGGTTTCAACAGCGGAGATGAAACCAACTACTACAACATCCCCGGCTCCCGCACCGAAGCCGTCATCAACATCACCAAAACCTCCAACGTCAACGTGCCAGGACGTTGGGTCTTCCAAGTCGACGTCTTTAAGGTGGTCGGGGTCCCCACCGAGAAGCCCCAGGCCGCCTCCGACAAGAGGTGCTGGCTTTGAGTTGGATTCCAGAAGGGGGAACAAGAAATAAAAAGGGACGGCAAGCGAGGCGACACCAAAACAGAAGGCAAAAAAGCATTTCTGGGGGCTTCTCCCCCTTTCTTGGTTGCTTCTTGCGGATCAACACGGACCCCCATCGGCCCCATTCCCCCTGGTGACTCCTTCGAATGCCCTCGACAAGCTCTGCCGAAGCAATAAAGCTGCAGCTGAGACGTCGTGGCTCCCGTGTCCAACCCCGTTCCTCAGCTCTCTGCGTGCACTGAGGGGTGCTTAGAATTTATTTGCATGAATTTCTGCCCCTTTCACCCCTCTGCCCCTTTCACTTTCATTTATGGGGTTTTTTTTTTCGGTGCTGTGTGCTATTTCTGGTGTGTTTTCTGTCCCTGCTTTGCTTAAAAGCAAAGATTTTGTGCATTCAGAGGGAATGCAGGGGGTGAATTTTGATCTCCGGTGTTTCCTGCCTGGGGGGAAAGAAATTAAGGGAAAGGAAGAAAATATAAGAAACAAAGAAAAGAGAAATAAGGGAATGGTAATAATAGGGAAAAATAGGGAAATGATAAGGATGTAAGAATAATAAGGAGAAGAGAAAG